GGCGCGGGGTCGATGGGCCAAGAGAGAGAGAGAGGAGGGGCCAAGCAGCCCCTTTTATAGTGGGCAGGCCTACCCTATGGGGAGGAGCACACCTGGCTATTGCCAGGTGACTGTGGAGGTAGAGTTACTAACAGATTACTAACATTCCCACATTTTGGTTTAATTTTAAAAAATTAGAAAGAGGTGATGGCGAAGCAGGAATAGGGCTGTAGTGAAATCTGGATACTTCCTGCTGACATTGGGAGTGATGTGTCTTTAGGGGGGAACTTAGAAGAATGGATATGGGGGTTTTTTGTCCGGTCTTAGGGGAGCTGGCTGTTTTCTGTTGTCCAGGGTCTATGGAGCCATCTGAGGATAGGCCAGAAGGAACAGGTCCAGTAGAAGCAGCAGCTGTGTGTGTGGCAGGAGATGGAGCATTTGGAGGTTGCTTCTCTGGATCTGTTTTGGACGCACCTGGACTTAACAACACATGTAGGAAATAAGATTAAGAACACTTGGAGAAAGAATTTTTTCTAAGATGTACATTTGAAACCCAGAGAGGGATCCCACCCTTTGTTATAGGTAGTAAGTGGGAATTTTAGGCAGATGTACTTATCTGGATGGCATCCATGAGCGGTAGATCTGAGTGGGTTTCCTGTAGCTTATAAGTTTATAAAACAGATAACAGAATGAGTTAACACAAGTAGTCTTTCAACTGAGTTTAGGTAATGAGGTAACAGATAATATCTGTGAAAACTTAGCTGTCAATGTAGTCAGAAGTCTGAGAAAGAGTAAACAACAATCTACCAGTTATATATTATTTTTAAAAAATGACAGAGTCCACTAGCCAACAGTTCCCGTGGTTTCCATAGTTTCTTGGGCGAAGTCAGTCTCGCTTCCAAGCGCAGAAGCCGCAGGGCTTTTTTTCTGTGGAATGGATACACGTGACGTGAGAAATGACTTACCTTGTTTTAGCCAAGTCATTTGACTCAGGGTATCCAGTTGTGTTTGTCCACATACAGTCTAGGCTGTATGTTCTAGGAGTCCAGCGTCCAGGTCTTCTGAAACCATCTTGGGCTAACTGTTAGAGGCTTTGGGCATTCTATCAGCCATAAACTTAAAATATACGATTAGCAGACTTCTGACAAGATTGAGAGCCATAAGGATTGGTTGTAACTGAATAAAAATCCATCAAAACGGGTTAGGAAAGAGTCTTAAGTAACTTTGGCAGATTGCATAGGAAGAGAAAAGCACATTTTTGTATTAGCAAAGAAGCATTTTGGTTAAGACAAGAATAAGAAAGCTGGCAATAGTAGCATATGGTATAGCTGGCGGGTTAGAGCTGGGAGCCACAGATGCCGTGGGCAGGTCTGCTGGTGGCAGCAGGGCGGGACTTCCTGTTAGCAGCTGGAAGCTGTTGCCCAGTGTCTCTGGCAGCAGTGAGTAAAGAAAAGCAAGCATGTCCTGTATCACTCCAACGTTAGTTTTTATGGCGGTATAGGTCCCAGGCGGCAGGATGTAAGGGGAAGACCCAGAGCAGAGCTAAGAACCGCAGAGGGAAGGGACCAGGCGAACTGGGGGACCGGTCACAGTCGCAGAGGAGGCGAGGGGAGCTAGCTGGGCCCTGGACCCGCTAGCTTTCCAGGCAAACCGATGGAACTGAGTGTGTCCAGGAGGCTGCAAATGACGAAGGAGGCGAAGGGAAAGGTCACGAAAGGCTTTCCCTTGGGAGAGACACAGTGGGGCAGAGCCGGTGATCCTGGGAGAAAACAGTAAATGCTCACCCGTGGAAGAGACATGTTGGAGACTGCATTTGGAGCCGGTGCTCCTGAGGGAGAGAGAACAGTCTGTCCAGGCCTGGCCTGGGGTACTCAGCTGCGAGAAACTGTCTCGAGAGGAGAGGGGAAGTGTCTCATCCAAGGGGAGCAATCGTAGCAGTCCAGGCCTGGCCTGGGGTACTCAGCCATGAGAAACTGTCTCGAGAGGGAGAGGTGAAGTGTCTCATCTAAGGGGAGCCATCCTAGAGAGGTTCAGAGAAGGACAGGGTTTGTTCTAGCTCAAGAAATCTTTTTTGGGACCTTGTGGGCAGTTACCGTGTGGTGTTTATCCTGTCCGGCCACAGCAGCTGAGGTCCCCAAAGTCTTCGTATCCCGGGTTTCGGCACCAATAAAAGGATTTTCACGTGTGCAGCTTGGGACAGATCACACAAGACTAGATGGTTCCACAAGGGGAAGTTTATTAAGAGAGTGGGAGAGCGGGAGGAGAGAGAGAGAGAGAGAGAGCAGAGAGGTGGAGGCCGGCCATGACCACGTGGAGAGAGGGGGAAAGGAAGGGGGGAGGGGAGACGGCAACCTGCAGGCGCGGGGTCGAGGGGCCAAGAGCAAAAAGGTAAACCTTAAAAACAGTGGTTTTTTTTTTTTAAATCATAGGAGTAGCTGTGACAAGTCATATATAAAGGTGATATTCTTCCGTCTTAAAACATAAAATTAAGTCATCATCTGTTGGTGATTCATGTTCAAGTAGTCATTGTAAATTTCTATAAAGTAATAAACAGTTACAAAGAAAATATATAAGCATGGTGACAAACAGTCCTTTGTCACCTAATATGAATTTTTCATCAGGTGTCCCTAGAAAAGCGGCAGGTATCAGTTTCTGGTTTCTAATGTGGGATACCATAGAAGCTCTTCAAAAGTGGGGTTAGAAATCTTCTTTCCATTTTCATGCCTAAGAGTGATGAGGTGGTTTCTCTGCTGGCTGACCACAGCTCTGATCTGCTTAACATTGCTTGGTTCATAAATAAATCTTAATTTTCCATCTTATCCATTTTCGTAAACTCACAGAAAATTGTCTCCCAGGGGAGTCAGGCTCAGAACTCCATAAAATCCACTCTATCTTCTAAGAGACAAAAGATGCTAGTAGCTTCCTGCTTAAAAGGAATTTATTTCATTACAAACAATTGTCAATTTTATTTTGGAAATTAACCCCTGGATGAATGCTTTTTAATGGAATTATTACCATCTGGCATTAGTTATCTTTGTATTTGAAAATAAATACTGATGCCAAGAAAGACTGCTTCCCTGCACCCCTACATACATGCATAGCTTACCTCCTCTCTGAGAAGCACAGATAGCCTCCAGAAAAGCCATATCCTTTTCTTCTATCTAGATAATGTTTTTTTCACAATACCTGTAGCTTTTCACTAGGAAAACTTTGTTAAATTAAATTAAAATCAGAAAATCTATGTCTAAACTACCAGGTTATGTTTTAATAATTACCAATGCTTACAACCTTTCTCTTTCAACTTTGGTTGGTAGTTGACTGGCTGGCTGGCTGGCTGGCTGGCTGGCTGGTTGGTTGGTTGGTTGGTTGGTTGGTTGGTTGGTTGGTTTTTTAAATAGAATGCTACACTGTAGTTCAGACTATCCTAAAAGTTACTATGTAGCTGAGACTGACCTAAAATCATGGCAATCCTCCTGCGTCAGCCTCCTTACTATTGCAATTACAGGTATCAGCTACCCCTCACCCCATTTCACTTAAACATCTAATATCAAGTGTCACAGAAAAAAATGTGATAGTGGCCCCAAAGGGAAATTTAGAGCTGTTCTCTGAAAAAAGCCATTCCAGACATTCCATAACAGCTGGCTAGTCAACCTGGAGCAGAGGCAGTGGAAGAAAGGCCAAATGAGTGATGCCTGTTTCCCTACCTTCATTCATAGTAGTGTCCTTTACTGAGCCAGACCTGGAGCTGGGTGCACATGTAACCTTTGCTTTGTTTGATGCCTCCCCCTGCTTTGTGAGGTGAGCATCTACTTCATTAGTAGATAAGTGGAGAGATGCTCGGAGTTTGAATGTTTTGACAAGATCACACAGAATACAGGAGCAGAGTCACACATTCTTCTCAGTGTGACTGCAGAGGGCATGAAGCGTGAGGCAGTTGTGGAGATACACATGAGTGTTTGATGTCTTTCCATTGTCACTGACAGCACTTTCAGTGGGGAGCTAAGTTACGCATGCAAGATTTCCTTCCTTTTTAATTTTTTATTATAACACGTGACATCAAGAAAATTGGGTGAAATCTTATGTGTTTGTACCTAATACACAAAAACTAGTTTCTAATATCATTCTTCAGTAAAAAGAAGCAAACTCCTTTAGGTAAATGTCTGACTGTGGGATGGAAGCAGAGTGAAGAGCCTGGAGTGTCTCACAGTGCCACAAAGTAGCAAGTGCTCAAAAGCAAAAGCAAACAGATCTGAGTCTGTGAAAGAAGCACACGTGGAAAGAGCTCCTAGTAGGCAAAGCAATTAAATAAATAAAGTATGATTAATTTATAACTCACTCAAAGCATTAGCTAAATATCCATAAGTCCATACAGTAAGGATCTGGCATGTAAAATTGATAAGGAAGCAAACAGATGGGGAAAAGGGATAAATCTCCTGTGCAGAAGAATTCCAAAAATGTAATATGTAGCTTTTCCATTCCCTAGGAGGTGGAACATAACAACTCTCACTTTCAGTGTAATCTGGACATAGTGACTTGTGTCCAATTAGTATATATGGAAAGAATCTTTAGAAAATAAATTAATAAATAATAATACAGTGGAGCATGAAGAACACTACCTCAGTCATGTTTGAGGTCCACATCAGTGGGTTGTCATGTTAGAAGTATGTGCAGTTTATAAAGTGTGATAAGGATGATACTTTATTGCCATACCATTCCCCACCTAACCCCATAACCTTGGTCTAATTTTGAGCAAAATATCAAACAGAGCCTAACTAAAGCTCCTTCTACAAAATACCCAGTTGTATTTCTCAAAACCGTCAAGAGTACCACAAAGCATCCTGTGGTCAGTTGCCTTGATATGTATAAATAAGTCACCCAATGTTTTTTAGCATTTTATATTTCCTATGCCTGTTTGCATTTATAGCAGGATGAGAAAATCATCTATTGTGTGTGAAGAGCAGACTCCATGTTGGTCCCCTTCTGTTTATAAGGCAAAGCAAATTTGTATCTTTTCCCATCAGGTTTATAATTGGAGATTTGCTGGATTCAGAAAATGACATCTTTGAGAAGTCCAAAGAGTGTGACCCTTATGGATCAGAGGAGTCACAGAAAGCCTTTGACCATGGCACAGAGCTCATCCCATGGTACGTGTTGTCCATCCAAGCAGATGTGCACCAGTTCCTATTGCAGGGGGCCACAGTCATCCACTATGACCAGGACACACATCTCTCCGCCCGCTGCTTTCTCCAGTTGCAGCCTGACAATAGCACCTTGACCTGGATGAAGCCTCCCACTGCCTCCCCAGCTGGTGCCAGACCCAAGCTTGGTATGCTTAGTAACATGGCTGAGCCTGGCAAGTTCCCATCACTGGGCAACGCTGGGGTGAACGGCCTGGCAGAGGGAATCCTGGATCTGTTTTCAGTGAAGGCTGTGTACATGGGACACCCTGGCATTGATATACACACTGTGTGTGTCCAGAACAAACTTAGCAGCATGCTTCTGTCAGAGACAGGGGTGACGCTGCTCTATGGGCTTCAGACCACCGACAATAGATTACTGCACTTTGTGGCGCCAAAGCACACAGCTAAGATGCTTTTCAGTGGATTGCTGGAGCTCACTACAGCTGTGAGAAAGATAAGGAAGTTCCCTGACCAAAGACAACAGTGGCTTCGGAAACAGTATGTCAGCCTCTATCAGGTAAGGGATGATGCATCCAGCCCTCTCCCTTGATTTGCACAATCCTCAGGACATACTCTTGGCGTATGTCAGTTACACCTGTATACACTTGGGCAGCTTTCCTTAACCTCCCAGGGCCACAATATCCCTGTCTAAAAACTGGAAATTAGCTGAATTTGTGCGTAGGATGTCTATGAGACTTGACAGAGCTCACAGTGTGTAAAAACAAAGTGTAAATTATTATGCGTGTCTGCTCATGGCAGGTCCTCTTGCTATTCTGTGTGAAAACAGTGACTGATCAATGCTCTTCTCACATCTGGACAGGAACCCACCCGTACAACTGAAGGTCTCAGCTGAAAACACCATAAGTCGTACATAGTGGCACATGCCTATAATCCCAGCACTTGGGAGGATGAGGAAGACTAAAGAGACGGCTTTATTTCATTAACTCATCCAATCTGGCTTCTTCCTAAGCGTGTAACCTGGGAGACGTTTAATTAGTTAGTGTGACATCTATGCCCCAATGCTAGGAAAGTAGAAAGATCACAAAACACCAGGAGGTTGAAGACATTTTTGAGAACTTTGTTCAGTTCACTGCACATACAGTCCCTGTGTTGGTGGCTTTTCTCATCATTGGGACAATGTGCCTGGAAGCCACAAGTTAAGGATGAATTTGCTTTAGCTCACAATTTGAGGGGACAGTGTGCTGTGTGGGGGAAATCATGGTAATGGGGTTAAGGCAGCTGGCACTGCATCTGCAGTCAGAGAGAAGGATGCTGCGGTTGCTCAGCTCACTTCCTGCTGCAGTTCAGAACCCCAGTCCACAGGGTAGTGCTGCCCACATTTAGAATGGGGCCTAATTCCACAGTTAATCCCTTCCAGTCCCTCGTAGACTTGCCCAGAGGGATTGTTTGTTTGTTTGTTTGTTTGTTTTTTCTTCCAACTAGCTCTTCATGCTTGAAGCTTCCTGTGGGACATGCAGGAAGCAGATATTTCTATTTCCATTTTAGATAAACTAACTAGACCAGGCTTTGTGATATATAACATTCAAATACCAATTGAACGACTTACATACACATATTAACACAACACTCTGCCATGAACTAGTACCAAAAAAGAATAACTATTTATTTCATTAGTTAAACTTTTTGGACATCCGTGTGATTTTCTCCAAAATTATGTTAACAGCCCTATACGTGCATTGCTTTATCCCAAGTTTGGAAAAGTATACATAGAAAATAAAAAACATTTCTTTTCAACTTCAAAAATGTAATGTAATGGAAACCAGGGAACTATGTAATGATGTTCATGTGGAAAGTGGAAGAAACACAGGCCCCTTAGCTTTGGCTTACACTGTCAAGGGCAAAGCTAGGGGCCACAGTCCTGAGTATTTAAATGGAGTTGTGAGCAGCTGGGAAGATTAAATATAGCAATATCATGTAAGCATCTTGGTTGTAAGAATGGACAGAAGTTACTCACTATATGCTGGGGGGCGGGGGGAAAGAGAAATTAACCAAAGGGTGTGAATTAGTTTCATGGTCTTCATAGAACAGAAATGCCAGCATCTTAAAGTACATAAATTTTTCTAAAAATATTTAGTTTTTGTTTTTTGTTTGTTTGTTTTTACCAGAGACAGAGACATGGCTGTCCTGGAACTAGCTCTGTAGACCAGGTTGGCCTGCAACTCAGAGATCTACCTGCCTCTGCCTCCCGGGTCTCGGATTAAAGGTGTATACCACCACCACTTGGGATTTGCTTTATTTTTACTTTTTTTTGTTTGTTTGTTTTTGTTTTTCGAGACAGGGTTTCTCTGTGTAGCCCTGGGTGTCCTGGAACTCACTCTGTAGACCAGGCTGGCCTCGAACTCAGAAATCCGCCTGTCTCTTATTTTTACTTTTTAATTAATTATGTATCGCTGTGTGTCTGTATGTGGGTGGTGTGTGTACATGCAGGGGTCAGTCAAGGCCAAAGGCATTGGATTCCCTGGACCTGGAGTTACAGGAAGTTTTGAGTTGCCATGTGGGTGTGGGCAACCAAACTCTTGTCCTACAGAAGAGCAATCCGTGCCATCTCTCCAGCCCGCTGAGGATCTTTATTTTATTGAATCTGTTTCCTAACCATCAACTTCTACACAGTTTGCTAAAACTAAGAACGTGTGTCCACTCATAAACATCCTTCATTCACAATTTTTTAAAAGAGAAAAGAAAGTATCTCTTTTACTCATCCCAAACATTTATTATTTTGTATAAAACAACTCACACTGTATTTTAGTTTCCAGAAAGCCTCCTTGAAAGATTAAACAAAAGAATTGTCTTCTCCTGGCCTGGTTTTCTTGGGTTTCTTTTTTAACTTTTTTTTGAGATTATAATTTAATTACAGCATTTCTACCTTCTCTTTCCTCCCTCCAACACCCCTATATAGTCCTCCCAACTCTCCTTCAATTTCATGACCTCTTTTATTTTTTTAATAATTTTTATCATATGCATATATGTATATACACGTATACTCTTAAAAATAACGAGTTCAGTCCATATAGTGCTACCTGTACACATAGTTTCAGGGCTGACCACTTGTCTCTGGACAAACAATGTTGTCTTCCCTAAGGAAGACCGTCCCTCCCACTCCAGGCTTTCCTCCTTTGCCTATAGTTCTTTGTGTAGAGTTAAGCTCCTGGCCTGGTAGTCTTAAGAGTAAACTTTGCACCATGTTGGGATATTCTGAAATTAAGAAAACTGAAACAGCAAAGATTGATTATGCTGATGATTCTTTCCACATGTAACCTATAGCAAGCAGGTCTGTTAAAAATTTAAAGATACACAAATTTAAAACAGGTCAACAGACAAAAGTTCTACAAAACTTCTTCCAGTCTTAAGAGTCTGTTCTTCAATGAGGTTGTGTAAGTCTATTTGTTGGTTTGTGTTAGGTGATATGTATTCAGTTTGGTGTATCCAGAACAGTTCATTTGCTTGTACTGCTTTCAGGAGGCCTGTGCCTGGTGGAATGATCACCATCCATAGGTACTGTGGCATGTGCCTATATATTTTCAGCTACTGTGGAGACCAAGGTGACAGGATAGTAGCTGGAAGTTGGCCTGGACAACAGCAGAAATTTGTGTTTAAAACAACCTCAGGAGGAAGATTCTGATTTTTTGTTTTGTTTAGTTTTTTTGGGGGGGGGTGACTCATGCATCAATCACTGGTTAAGAGAGTGTATTCTCCACTTTGACAGGTCCATCAATATCTATTAGAAAATTGATAAAGTAAAAGTCAAAAATGGAAGAACTAGACATAAAAGTCACAGATATAAGTCACATTATAGGAGATCATCTAAAGACTTCGGTATCAAGTGTTCATGTTGCACCCTGGATACAAAAGATGGAGTTCATAGATAAGTCGTAAGAGCAGATAACCATTAACCACTAGGGTAAAGAAACAAACATGTACACACAAAAATCATCTTTATTATCTGCATATTGTTTTCAGTGAATCAAAATCTATTTACAAGGCCTGGAGAGATTGCCAGTGGCTAGAGCACATGTTGTTCTTGCAGAGGTCCCAAGTTCAGTTCCTAGAATCTACATTAGAGGCCTACAACTGCCTGCAACTTCAGCTTCAGAGCATCTGATACCCTCTTCTGTGCTCTAGGCCAATGGCACACACACACACACACACACACACACACATACTCATTTTTTAATCTATTTACAAATATTTTCTTGGAAGTATAAAGAAGGGCTACCCTTAAAAGGTTACAGTGTACAAACATAAAAAGGTAGATAGATAGATAGATAGATAGATAGATAGATAGATAGATAGATAGACAGAATTTTTTAAAAGCTACAGGAAATAGTAAAAGGAAATAAATTTGATGCACTCTGTCAATTAAACTCCACCCCAGCCCCTAATTTGCAAAGTCTTAATGAATTTTCCCACAGTGTTAGTTTCTGAATAACTTCTGAGACCAGGATGGGAAGTGTTTTGGGTTTGGTTTGGTTTGGTTTGGTTTGGTTTGGTTTGGTTTGGTTTGGTTTGGTT